TATAAGTAGACTCTAAAATAGATTAAATAAGCCTTTGAAACCCTTAAATCGTGAAAATTTTCGGGGGCTTCGACCCATGGACCATTTTTGGGGCTTTTTAATCGAAGCTCGGCCACGTCCAATTTGCTTTTGTCGGGGAAATCTGACCTCCTGGTCGGGGGAATTATCCCACCCTCGTCAGGGACCTCACCACCCCCGTGTCGGGCAAATCCTGGCGCCACCCCTGGCTGAGAGGAATTTGTTTTCCAACTCCAAATGATTCAAACCCAGTGGCTTAACAATGGGCCGGAGGCCCCTGGGTAGGAGCCCTTTAGGGGCCTCCCCAGACAAAGGGCCCCCGGTGGGAGTCTCAGGGGGGAGAAGCCCCGGCCACTCCGGTGTTTTTAACGTTATTTGACTATTTGAAAGTGCCTTTTTATACACATTCGAATTCTAAGTTTATGTATCGTGATTTGACCCAAAAAAGCATATTAACTTAATTTTAACTAAGATATCACAATAGCCATTACATTAAATACCGTACCAAACAAAACGAGCCACTTACTCAGCAGACTTCGTCTTGGAAAAATTAATTTGCTGGGGTCCATTGTGGCTCCAGGGCCCCTGGCTTTAGCAAGTGAGAGCTCATAGCCGTTACACTACTGTTCAAACCTAGGCCTATATTATATGGTTGTTATAGGCCTAGGCCCTAATGGACTACAACATTAATTGTAATATTTTGAAATTTAATGAATCAGTCTTTTTACTACAAAATCAATTATTCACCTTCAAATAAATTAGGTCTTATTTATATCACAATTCATAACCATCATCATCAACATAATTTATCATCATTATCCTCCACAACATCAATGTCAACATAAGGCCTACGTCATCCTTATCATCATCATCATCATCATAATTATCACCATCTTCCTAATATTAATCATCATCATTGTCGTCATAATTATCATCAGCATTCTCCTCGGCGTTTTAGTACTTGTAGGCAGAACGCAAGAAATTACGTTCTTCTTTTACCATTCACCATCACGTTCCTCGCTCTTCATACTGCTTTTCATAAACCTTTAAATATAAAATCGCCTGCTAGAAATCATCATAATTATCACCATCGTCCTAATATTAATTATCATCATTGTCGTCATAATTATCATCATCATCATCATCATCATCATCATCATCATCATCATCATCATCATCATCATCATCATAATCATCATCGTCGTCGTCATAATCATAGTTATCATCATCACCATCATCATCATCATCATCATCATCATTATCATCATCATTATCATTATCATCATCATCGTCATCATCATCGCAATCGTCATAGTCGTTGCGGCCATAGTTTTCGTCATCGTCTTACTTCATACTTACATCGGAGCCTGTTATTTATCATCGTCACCATACATCACCATCATCACCACCTTCATCATCATAATCATCATCATCCTCATCATCATCATCATCACCACCTTCATCATCATAATCATCTTCATCCTCATCATCATCATCATCACCACCTTCATCATCATAATCATCATCATCATCATCATCATCATCATCATCACCATCATCACCACCTTCATCATCATAATCATCATCATCCTCATCATCATCATCATCACCACCTTCATCATCATAATCATCATCATCATCATCATCATCATCATCATCATCATCACCATCATCACCACCTTCATCATCATAATCATCATCATCCTCATCGTCGTCGTCGTCATCATAACCATCTTGGTTTCAGAAATCCAAAAGTCGGAATACGTTCTTACTGTCTTAATAATTATTATATGTGCACAATATTAACAAAATACAATAGTGAATGTCGTTATACTGCTTTTTATTATCACGGACAACATTGTTGAATGGTACGTCTAAGTTCTCTCTCAGTGAAATCCGTAATGCGTGTTTCATAAGACAATACGTAAAATTTCAGAAAGCAAATTAGATTGGTGAAATTGTTATTGTTACAAAATCACAGACCTTTTAAATACTTTACAAAATAGATTATTAGGTATTAGACCTGGGGTTGTTACTATTGTTCACATAATTTCTGGTCGATTTCCTCGCGTTCAGCTTTTGTTGCGAGTCACGAAATTCTGAGATCACCGAAGGCAGTATGCGTGTTGCATTCGCTTTGTCTTCAGGATAAGATTGTCTAGATTGATATTAAATTTAAAACAATCAACATAGCGGTTTCTTTTCTTAATTGTAATTTTCCACGGACTGTCATTTCCTAAAATGAATATCATAGATTACATTATCATATAAGTTCGAGAACAATAATTAAGGTACGCGAACACACATTTTGAAATTCAGAATAGATTATGATTTTGAATATCGTATAAGTCTCATTATCATCATAAATACGGTAGCTTTTGTAGTATAGGCTATGCTTAATAACTATCATACCTTTGGCAATATATGGCACATGCCATACATGCGCCACATGAGTGAAACACAGGACATCATATTCGAACTTTTAAGATCAGACAATTGTGGCTTTTCATACAAATGGTCAAACTGACCAAGGAGGTCCCGTGATTGGCTGGGAATGCCTATACCGGTACCTGTAGCTTTAAATGAGTTTCGTGGTTGATGTCTCAGTTTTGAAATGTACAATTTTTATAAACATGATGATTCGTGATATAACTTTTTCATCAATATTTCAAAGTGATATCACCACAAAAAACTTTGCATTATCTACCGGGGAGTTCAAAAAACATAACAAGATATAATCTCCGTCAATCATTCTTTTCAAACTGACTTTTTTTTGTCGAAAATAGGTCTACAGATATTATCAATTGTAGTAGGTTTAAAGGAAAACTGTATTTGTATTTATATCTTACCATTCACTAGAGTCCTTATCGAATCCTTAAATCCCATTTCATCAATCTTAATGCTCGGAGTATTATTAAGTAGCATATCAAAATGAATTCATTGAAATATTCGTATTTACTTAAAAGTATTTTGTACTGAGACAAGCGAAAATCAAATGAATATTTATGATGCGCTCTTAACATCTTCCGTCACAAGGCACGTTCCTGCAAGGAGCTTAAAAGCTCTTCAATTAAAACTAATGTGATTTATCTTTTCCATCGTAGGCGCATGTGTTGCGCCGCTGCTCCAGAAACATCACCAACTGTCCTCACCAGGGTTTCGAGTGAGCCTGGAATATTTCCACTTCTTCTCCCTTGCGATATAGTACATGAATGTTGTCCCAATATCGGCCTAGAAATGTAAACTTATCGTTAAATATGGAGCCATTTTAGCACCTATTTCCATGCCACCCAGGCGCCTCTCTGTCTCACATGATAAATTTAACAATTTATTTCACAGTTAGTTCGCCAACGTAATATTTCAAAGTGTTGTTTCATATCCATTTTCCTTTTAGGTCTTAAAGCAGTGCCCTTCGTAACTAACTTTCTTTTCTTGTTAAAAAACAATATTTGCTATGGTATAGGCCTACTAAACCACACCGATCATCTATGCGTGCCATTTCTGTGCATGGATTTCAATACCAATAATGACACTATGTTTTGTAAATGTTAGCCTTGCTAATTGTAAAATACTTGAACTCAAATTTATTCTCATATATGGGGAACCGGGCTCCTTAATTTTTAGAACATTGTATTACCCATGAATTGTATTTTCCACGCAATGCCATATTGTCCTTTGCGTGGCCGGCAGTAAACATCAAACCATCAGTTTGTTTTTACGATTGCCAAGCCGCCAAAACGTAAATAATTTCAAACTAGAAAGTACTGAAGTACTCAACAGTAGCACAGTTTATCGTCTGCTTCCTCAATATCAGATACATAATATTAAATAACAGTTACATGATGCCCGTATAACTTGACATGTTTTCATTACTGAATGAAAAAAAAAGCTTTTTCTGGCATCGTTGCATTGTTCGGTATTCGTACATCTACCAGCTTCTTTACAATCTAAACAGAAGTCACTCGTACCAAATAGTCCTAGAATTTTTTGTTACACTATTAGTCATATTGATTCGTATTATTGGTATTGAGGCTTTCCGCTATCACAATAACTTAATGTATAAAAAGGCCTACTAAAATAAGCAGGTATAATATAATTGATAACAATTTAAATAAAATTGGAGGCAATATACTTATTGTGGCTTAAGTGCTGTTAAATGACCTCATTTAGGTTGCTTTATTTGGATTAGTTTATCTAACAAATAGAATATGGTTTGTAAATTACATTGTGTACTACTGTCGAGAAAAAAGTATAGGCCTATTAGACTTATTCGGAACCCCAGATCCCTTTGTCTCTAAAAACAAAATAAGACGAGTGTTTCTGCTGTATCCCATATCATATATACCATAGCTTGATAAAGACTTATAGTCGAAAGTGCTCGTTAGTTTTCAAATAGAC